ACACCTGCATCAGGTGTTCAGAGCAGTGAGGAGAGGCCAGGTGGCTGGGCAGAAAAGGGGGCGTCTGGGTGAGAAAGGGGGGCCGGGCCCAGGGAGGGGCAGCAGCAGCAGGGGCACCTATGCGCGGGCAGGTCAAGTGAGAAGCCAGAAATATCAAGGACGAGGGTGAAAGGTCAGAGCACAGGCCCTCAGGCAAGGGCCCCTCTGCGGGGCAGAGGTTACCGGCTTCTCAGCCCACGACAATGTCCCGAGGGGCTGTCTGGGTCTCCGAGGAGCCAGCGGGAGCAGAGGAAGCGGACTGCTGGCCGGATGTGGCGACCTACAGCGTGTGGTCAACCTCCCCCGGTTAGCCCACCCAGGGCCCTGGCTCAGGCCACCCTGGAGGCCAAGCCTGCACCTCACAGACACAGAGAACAAGCGACAACAAAGACAGGGAAGGACTGAGCAGTGTGCCCCTCCGACAGCCCCGGGCTGGCTGCCCAGGTGCTGAGCTGACCGTGACTCTGAGGCTTCAAAGGCGGGAGGCCGCTGTGCTCACCAGGTGGACAATCAGAGAACGTGGCAGCGGGTCTCCCCAGCCAGGCTCGGCCGGCCGCTCGCGTCGAAGCCCCACAGGGCAGCCCCAACACCCTCGGTCCTCTAGCGCCCAGGGGGCAGGGCACCTGGGAGAGCCTGCAGTGGTTCCCCGGGGGCCAGGTCAGGTCAGCACGGGCTCCCCCCATCTTGGTGAGAAGGTGGCCGTGCAGGAAGACAAAGTCAGATAAGATCCGAACAGGAAAAGATGGGAATATTGTGTTCCAAAATTCCTTAGAGAAACACAGCCCTCTAAAATGTAATTTTACATGAAATATTACCCCAAAACATAGTATTTTCATAAAATATTCAACAGCAATTGCTAATAGGCGCCAAGTCTCTATTTTGAGTGGTAAAAATATTCCAAAATTAGTGCTGATGACTTCACACTATGAACATACTGAAAACTACTGAATTATACATTTGAAAGGGTAGATTCTGGTATGTGGATGATCTCAACACAGCTGCTATAAAAAATTCACACGTGCCTCCGCCACTGGTGTGTAAACTGTGAGGAAGGGAAGCCTCGCTCCGTGATCACCAACCAGATGAGCAGTGTTAATACTGGGCACGTGGGAGTAAAAGGAAACTCATACCATTCCTGTTGGTATTAAACACGCATGGGAAGGCACAGGGCAAGCTGTGCAGACACAGAAGCCACTGCGTGAACCAATAGCGACCGTGTGGTCCTCACGGACAGCAGCGCCCAGCAGCGGACCCTGCCCTCCTCCCTGCGGGAACAGACACGTCCCGAGGTCCGCACGGCCGGGGAAGCTGGCCGCCCGAGCTCCTGGCGCAGAGTTTGGTGCGAGCCCTCGATAATGCCCACAGGGTTGTGTTTCTTGTTTTTTCCTTGTAAACCAAAGGACTTGGCCTGGATTCCCGGGATCCTTTACTCGGACGTCAGGCTTGGTTGAACGGCCAGGTGCTGGCTGGCACCCTCAGGTGGCAGCCTTCCTGTGAAAAGCAGAAGACGACAGCCACCGAACCCATGTAGAACTTCCGGAAGACACGAAACCTCCCATTGCTCTGCTTCATCCCCCACGTGAGGACCAGTGTCAGGAGGCATGGTCAGGACATTTGTCCTGGGATTCCCAGCATTATACTGGGCTTCCTGGGTGGCGCTGACCACTGATGTCTACCCTAAGTGGTTCCATTTGGAACCTAAAACAAAATGTTATCGTCTGCGAAATAAAAACATTTGGCGAAGACAATTCTTTGTTCCAAACACCTAAAGAGACTTCTCTAAACAATTGAGAAAAATAACAGATTTTAAACAATTGAAAACATTTTTTCCGAAAACAAAAACACATTGGAAACCTGGTTCTGAACCAAGTTCCCAAACAGCAGAACAGCTGTAATCACAAAATAACTGCAAAGAGAGAGGAAAACATCTAAACAAAATGTCCAGTCCAATAGCCAGCCCACCGCTTCCCCAAAAGCCATTTGCAGTCAAACCACCGTCCTCACAACAAAGAAAACCATCTGCCAGGCAGGGAAACTCTCGGTGGTGAAACGCCAAGGGAACATAAGCCGTTTCTTTAACCTTTAAATTTCATATCATCTAAAAACACTGGCAGTGACAATAGCACACATTTAGTTAATGTGTTTATTAAGTATTAATGAGTTACTACCTATTATAGACTATGGCATGAACTGTACTTTTCTCCAATAACACTGATGTAGAAACCACGAAGTAGAGGTCGGTGTGATGATACCTGGTCTTCAGAAGATCACAGTGCAGCCCGTGTGGCTCAGGCCAAACATTTCAAAGTCGTTTTGGACTCTTCTCTTGGACACACAGCCATGAGCACGCCCCATGGGCAAGGTTACCTCTGACAACGTACAGCCAGGAGCCAGCCACTCCTCGCCAACTCCAATGCAAAGGCCCAGTCCAGCCACCATCCAGTCGCTCCTGGACCACAGAGCAGACTCCATCCCGCAGGGGGGCCCCGCAGACTGCTGCCTCCCCGGGCCTCTCCTCCGCACAGCAGTCCCGGGCTCTTGTCAAGGTGTGAACACAGCACACGGAAGCTGGGTGACAGGCCCCCGGCCCTGCCCACCACTGTGAATTCCCTTTGCTGCTGCTTGGCATTTCCCAGGCGACGATGAAGTTAACTGTCTCTCATGTTCTTCATTGGCCGTTTGGGTCTCCTCTTGTGTGAAGCGCCTGTTCAAGTGTTTCGCCCATTTTTCTGTTTCGAAATCAGTGCTTGGTTCTTGAGCTATTTTGGACACAAGTCCTTCTGCAGAGAAATGCATTAGAAATATCTTCTCCCCCTGTTACCTGCTTGCTCATTCTCTTCACAGCATCTTCTGATGAACGGTTCTGCATTTTGCTGGTCTCCAGTCTATCATTTTCCCCTTCGCAGTGTTTACTAGGTAAGAAACCCCCGCCCAGCCTAACCTCATGGAGGCATTCTTCTGCATTTTCCTCTAAAGGCCACTGTTTCTAACCTGACATTTACGACGATATTAAATTGACCCTTTATATCTGACGTGAGGAAAGGGTGAGAATACCTGTTTGCCACGCGGGCAGCGTTTTTACCCGGCACTACTGTAGATGCCGCCCTCCCCCCACACTGGTAATGACACCCTCGTCAAATGGCAGCGCTGCTCGGCCACCCCGGTGCCAGCACGGCCCTGGATCAACGTTCTCTCACAACAACCCATGACAACCCACGACAGCAGGCAGTACGAGCCCTCCAGTTTCAGTCCCTCACTCAAAGCTGCCTCGGCCACTCACGGCCTCTGCATTTGCACCTGTTTTAGAACCAGAAGCAAACACCCGCCTGCTCCCTCTCCCTGTCTTGTTTCCTGCTTCGCCGCCAGGCCCAGTTTGGTTTTGGGCAGAATTCCAAACAACTGCCTCGTTTTTTGGTAAGAGAAGAGAAACCCTGAGACCCCACATCCGTGACCTCGGTCCACTTCCCGGGAGGGGGGGCAGAGTCACTGTGCCCTGGGTTCTCCCCGCCACAGCCTCTCTCCTGCCGGCTCACTGCTGAGACCCTGACCGCCCCGTGCTCTCTACCCGCCTCATCCCACCTCTCGGGCGGGCCTTCTCCACGGTCCAGGGACTGTCCCTGCTCACACCTGCTGGTGTCCTCCACGGGAGTTCAGCCCCAGGTGTCCATGCAGTTGATGGGCACATATATTCAGAAGCTCCCTTGCAGGCCCAACTCATGCCACATGTGGTACAAAGGTCAAGGTTAAGGGAGCTGCATAGCAAGTCCACACTCTGGTCTCGGATCCCACTCACAGTCCCCAGTCCAGCTTCCCTGGAGCCCTGAAGTGAGGGTTGCTGCATGCTTGTTAGAAGCAAAGAGAGAGGAGGGATGGGTTAGGGGCCACCCCAGTTTGCAGGTGAAGTGGACAGTGGGGGCTTGGGAAGGAAGTTTCCCCAAACAATCCATATCCATTGTTCTTAAAGCCCAATTATATGAGGAGTCCCCACTCACTCATATGTTACGTTTATTATGAAATAATAATTTACTATAACGATAGGAGACCAACAATTCTTATAAAAATACCTGTGACCCTTGTAACCCATATATTTTTGTAGCTATGTTTTTGAAAACATGTCATTTAGCCAGAGGCACAAAGCCTCTTTCTTCTGTTCTGCTGACAAAACCACGATGGCTGGATACTCTGCCCTTTGTGACGTGTACCATCCAGGGGTGGAGGTGGCTGCCTGCCCTGGCGACCCCAGCGGCCTCTGCTGTGAAAAATGGAGTTTTCCTCGGGCCTCACAGGGGCAGATTTAGGAAAATAAACAAGAACTACGCCGCCACGGAGTTGGGCGCAGGCAGGTCTAAAGCAGACAGCTCTCAGAGCCCCTGTGCTCCCAGCACCTCACCCACCTGTGCTCCTTCCAGGACCCTCGTGAGACCCCACCTTCTGAAGAGGGGGTGAGCGCAGCCTGTCTGAAAGGCGGAGTTTACACCCCCTCTGTTTCCCCCCCCCCCACACCCCTGTACTGAGATTGATTCGGTGTCACGTTTCGAAAGGAAGGTATGTTTCTAAGGTGGGAATTTTCATTCCAACACGGAGCTCAGCATTGATTCTGTGCGGTTACAACTACAACTGGGAAATAAAGGGAGAGTGTCATTTCATGTACAGAAATCAAATCCTACATTCAGCACAAGAATGTGCTTATTTTGAACTCCGAATACCCTGACACATGGAAAATTTCTTTTTCAGCAGTGAACTCCGTCAAGTTCCAAGTTCTGAAATTGCCCGGTAAGATATTTCAACAGTATTTTCCCCTGAATGCCAAACATCCAAGCTACTCGGGTTCCCTAAACCAGAAACCCTGCACCGCGGTACGAGTCGGCTCCGATCGATCTGTATCAGCCCACCTTGCGAACGCAAGAAGGAGCATACAGACAGACAGACTTGAACCGTCGGAAGTCCCGGCCCAGCCTCACCTCCCACATCAGCCTGTAGTCCATGTTCTCGTCCAGGTCCTCCGGCATCCGCTTCTCTCCAGCAAACGGTCCAAACTTCTCGCCCTGCACAGGGGGGGGATTACATTGAAGAAGCGTGAGCGCAACACTCAAAATACTAAAATAAACTATCGCTTCTCTTCTGGAAAAAATTTTCCTGCTAAGTCTTCGTGCTCCGTGATTGAGACACATTTAAAATATTAACCAATTTATACAACACAAAACATTTACATATTTAAAATCCAACTTAATCTTGTTTTTAGCCCAAGATCCTGACTCTAAAGCACAGGAGTCGAGATCAAAGGGTTAAACTGCGGAACCTTCGAATCCCGACCAGGCCCGGCAGGGCTGCCTCGGGCACTCGGCCCTCGGAGGACAGGCCCTGGGTTTTGCCTGACTTGAGAGACAAGCCCACCAGGCTGAAAATCGCCTGGTTTGCATCAAAATCATAAATTCATCCCAATTATGACAAAGAAAGAAGTAGGCTTGCCATTCTCAGAGGAAGACTCCGTAAATAAAGTTTAAATTCTCCTGCCAGTCTCTCAAACAGCCAGGGGCACACGGGAAACCAGAGCTGCCCCAGCACCCGCCTGCAGCCCGCCTGCGTGAGAGAGAGCCTCGACTTCGGGGTCCCGGGAGGGGGGCTGGGAGCTGCGTCCGGACCAGCTCCCGGGTCAGAGGCCCCCCGTGCACCAGGAGTGGCTGCAGTGGGACCCGGGAGGTGGGTCAACAGCTCAGGGGCACTCTTCTCACTAAGGGAAAGGAGGCCCGGACTGGAGAGACCCAGGGAGCAGGCTCGGGGTGGCGGCCAGGTGTTCGGTGATCCGTGTTCAGGGACCCTGCCTGTGCCCCAGAAGAAGCGGCCCTTCCTTTCTAAGGAGGCGGGGGACTTGGGATGACCACAGCTGGGGGGAGAATCACCACCAAACAGCATCTGAAGGAAAACAATGGCTTAATGAGCAACAGAAAACCCAGCCGCCGGGGACGGTGCAAGGTTAAAGCACAAAGGGGTTGCTACCCGCTAACCAGCCCCTCATTTCCCCGATGAGGAAAGGGGCCCGAGAGGCTGTGGGCAGTGGTGGAGCTGGAGGGCCCCGTCCTTGGGGTTAACTCGGGGGCAGGAAATGCTACAGAGACCCTTCCAGTCAAGACCCTGACCCTAATGGCCCAGCACAGGGACACTGCTATTTATAGCAGCATACAGGTGCTGGCACAGAGTTCAGGGCACAGGTTTCAGAGCCACACGTCCCGGCCACTCCACGCTGACAGCGGACACTCAGCATCACTCCTTAGTGGACACAACAGCCCAAATAGGCTCCTGTAAAGGGGATTTGTCCTCCCCATAACAGGGGACCTTCCCAGAATTGACTGGCTGTGCTGGATGGCAAGGAGGAAGGGAAATTGACCCTTCCCAACCTGCAATGCGTCACATGACAGATGACACCATGTGAGGATGTCCCCGTCCAACAGGGAGGAAAACTGGGACTCCGAGAGCTGCTATCACTTGAGGGAGGACAGAAAAAGGACTGGGAACCTATGGTATCTTCTCAGCCGAGGGCCCAGGCACTGTCCCGGGGCCACCACTCAAAACACTGGCAGATGACCATGCCGGCCAGGGGCCTGTCCGCAGCAGGCAAATTGAGTGGAGAAACCAAGGACAGAGCCAGTCTCAAAGACAGACCAAAAGCTAGGTGTGTTTTGGTGACAAATGTGAGGGTGTCGTGGTAACACATGTAGTTCAACCATTTGCCCCACTTGGTCACATGTTCGGCCTTGACCAACCACGGCGGACGGTGGTCATCAGTGCACACACTTCCCGATACAACTGGTCTACCCAAGACCGTCAGCATGAATCTGGAGGGAAAACAATGAACCGGCCAGGCCCGCAAAAGTCTGAAAAGGAAGGAAACCCAAATAAACGCAGGAAGGACGTAGAGCTTTGACTTTTCAGAATGAGACTGGAAACCAACATGGGGACTCGCTGTCCAGTCACTCCATCATAAACCCAAACCCTGACGAATACGGCTCTCAGTGCTTCTCCCCGACCCACCGCCAGAAACATGCTGTGCCTCTCAGCGGAGCACAGTCACGCAGACACGCAGAAACACATGCATGTGAAATCTCAGCGGAGCACAGTCATGTAGACACGCAGAAACACACGCGTGTGAAACTGAAACAGAAATTTCGTGAAACGACACTACCCTTACTCTGCACAACGCACAATATTGTCAACTTGATTCTAATCACTTGGGTCAAATATACAAGTTTTGGCCAAATAACCTAATGTCACAACTCCCCAACGGGCCGCCATCACGGTTTGAAAGGCACTGACACACAGGCGTGCACAGAGGAGGGAATGTGTGAGGCCATTTAGCTCCCTGGCCTCCGTGAGACGACCTTGGCACTCTTGTGGCTGTGTCAGAACAACTTGTCAAGTGCACACGAGTTTCTGTGGCTGGGAGATGACAAAAATGTGAGCAGCCAGCTCGCGGTCACCCAGAGCGCTGGCGGCGAGGGACACTGCGGATCACTAGGGTGTGTTGTGTGCGTGGGACTTCAAACGGGGCTTTCAGACTCAGCAGACCCACCCTCCCTCTGAAGCTTCCCCTGAGGACCCCGGCACCTGCACCGCCCCCTCTCTAATGCTTTGTTCACTGTGGTTTCCACTGTGCAAGCGGTACCTTTTTTTTTAACTAATTTTTAAAGAGAAAGGAAGGGAGAGAGAGAGAGAAACGTCAATGTGAGACAGAAACATCAATCGGTTGCCTTCTGTAAGTGCCCCAGCTGGAGATCGAACCCACAGTCCTTTGGTGCACAGGACAATGCTCTGACCCACTGAGCCACCCTGCCGGGGACAGCACTTTCTTATCGTTGTAAGTTCATTGTATACACTGCTTTATTCACTAACCTCTCCCTGTGGAAACTCTAGCCTCGGGGTGAGCTTCTTCTGTCTAGTGGGCCTCACACCAGCCTGGGTAACACAGGCATGTTATAATACAAGGTCGGTCTAGGGAAAAAACCAGCCATTGTTAAAATAACAAGAACAGTTTGCATGACATCAATGTGACCTGGCAGCCAAGGAGAGTGGACTGGCGTGCACATGCGTGAACAATGACTTCACTGCCCTAGTCAGTGGGGGCGGTAGATGCCGTTGAGTGAGCATGTGTACTGTGTGGCCATTGCATTCAAAATGACTGAGTGAGTAGGGAAACAAATCTGCATCAGATTTTGTGTTAAGCTGAAACATTCCTCTGTGGAAACTATTCGGATAATTCAGAAGGCCACAGCTATGGACAACTGGTGATTGGCAGCTTCAGCACAACATTCCCGCTCATACATCACGTTTCGTGTAGTTTTTCAGGGAAACATCAAATCACCCAGGTGACTCAGCCCCCCTACAGCCCAGATTTGGCACCTGTGGCTTCCGGCTTTTCCCAAAATTAAAACCACCTTTGAAAGAAAAGAAATTTTGGAACTTCAATGAGATTCAGGAAAATAGCACCATACAAAGGGGCAGCTGATGGCGATTGAGAGAGCTGTGTGAGGTCCCCGAGGTGCCTCCTCTGAAGGGGACTGAGACATCCTTGTCCTACCTACAGTGTTTCTTGTATCTTCTTCGATAAATGTCTCTATTTTTCATATTACATGGCTGGATGCATTCTGGACAGACCTCAAATAATATATAAAATATATATCATATGTAATTACATAAGAAATATATATAATTATTTTTCTTTTAGTTGGACCATATGAAATTGTCAATATTTGACCATTTTCAACCTACAAAAATGAAACTTTTTACAATTCATTACAATATAAATGATCTACATGCACCTGAGCATATTAAACCCCTCAGGTGGGGTTCGTAAGTAATGCTAATAACAGGAAGAAAACCAACATCTCAAACGAGCTTCTCGAAAACGGCAAGATTTCCCAGCCGCCCTCCTGCCATGGCCAATTTCCCCTTCTGCGACCAAGTGGCTGAAGACCCCGCACCAGCCGCAGAACTCAGCGGACAGTCACATCTCCCCTCTGTCCCCACATGCCTGCACTACCAGCATGGCCTTTGGTCTGTGACTTCACCCAAGAGCACTCTTAAAGCTCTTTGCTTCTAACTATCTCAAGGGCCACCATCTCCGATGCTTCCAAGCTGGGCAGGAAGCAACATCGGACCCCGAGAACAAACGTGCCCAGGGCGGGGCGGGGAGAGGCCAGGAGTTGCGCTGGGAGGGCACGCCCACTCCCGCAGTTTTCCACGGTCGAACGTTGCCAGATAGCTGCAAATATTTCAGACATGCTGATGACTGAGTGTGTAGGTGAAATCCCTGCCCTTCCATGTTGGAATGGAATTCCAACATTTCAGAACTGTGCAGGTACAACAAAATGCCACCGCAGGACAGAATCAGCCTGCAGACACCACACCGTCCCAGCCCGACTCGCCGCCCAGACCCAGCCAAGCCCGGCCGATGGGGGTGCTCTTCTGCTGTTTCTGAACAGAGCAGATAATTATCCATTCAATTTGCCACCCACGGGGCTAGACAATAACTTTTATAAAATATATGATTGCAAACATGTGGGCTGTTTTCTGTTGTTTTGCTTAATATAATTGGTAAGAAGTTGAAAGCAAGACTTACTGCAGATGTACCCCTTAGGAGAGCAGGGACCGCACAAGGGAGGCTTCCCAAGGTCTGAACCCTAGTCCTCGCTGCCACTAATTAGCTGTGACCTGGGACACCAGATAGCTGAGCCTCAGTCTCCTCACTTCTAAAACTTAGAGGTCTGGGTTGAAAGAGAAGGAGGGAGGGAGGAGGAAGGGGAGAGAGAGAGAGAAAAAAAAAAGGAATGGAAACCAGGAGGCTGTTAAGAGAGATTTAATAGACATAACCAAATGTAATATGTGGACCTTGATTGGATCCTGGTTCAAAAACAAACTGCTATAAAAACATTTTGGAGGTAATTGGAGTAATCTGAATATGGGCTGGAATTAGGCAACATTAGGAAATTGCTGTTATTTTTGTTGGATGTGAAAATGATATTATGGCTATTTAGGAGAATGCCCTCATGCT